GGAATGGATAACTTTATTAAACTGTTAGATGATAAAGTTGGTTATGTTCCTATTTAAAGTCAAACAGCTGGTAATTAACAACTAGTCTTAGATGTTCAATGGGAAAAGAATACACAGTAAGGTGAAATATACTCAGTTACATAAACTATTTATAACTTTTGACCTTTTATTGTAGGTCATACATAGAAAACACGTAGTGCCTCAACTTATGTGTCCCTCAATGTACAAGACCAGTTCGTCAACAAATATTAAAGCATATTTTACACAGTACAAAAACCAAATAAACAGAAGCAGTTTTATTAAACCTACTAAATATAAGAAAGTTGACTTTATTTGTAACAAAACATAACGTTTTTAGTAATTCTAAAAATACTTTAGAAAAATTTGATACTAATTATATGTAAAATGATCAGGAGGAGAATTAATACTGCTCATGTTATCCCAAAGATAGCAGACAAATGTGTTACAAAAAAGATAAAATACATCATGTGATCTGCAATATTAAAACTCAAACAAAATTTTAATTTTTTTTTCTTTACCAAATATAGTGAAATTAAGTCAGAGTTGGCTGTTATATAAATCAAGGTACTCACTTCCATTTCTTTGAACTTGGTTCGAAGTTCCATCGGAGAAAAGCGGAATTCATCCAAGCCATCGTTCCACCTGATTCTCTCTAACACTTCTAGATCCCCTCCTACTAACCAGTCTCCACTTTCATAAATCATCTACAAATAGGGTATTGTTAATTTATATAAAACAGATTAACAAGCTACTTGTGTACAAATAATAAGTTATAGTTTTACCATATGACTTTCAAGATCATGTCATCTTTTACGTTTTTTGTAATATTACTTAAACTAAGAAATTCTAAGTATCAAATTTACAACTATAATAAAGATATATTACATCACAAAATGAACAGCTGACAAAAATGTTACATTATAAAATCAACAGCTGAGAAAGATATATTACACCACAAATTATGTTACATCATGTAACTTAATATTTATCAGTTGTTAATTTTGTAATATAACTTAATATTTATAAGTTGTTAATTTTGTCACAAAATTAACAACTTATAAAAATCATGTTACATCACAAAATTAACAACTTATAAATATTAAGTTACAACATCACAAACTTATCAGTTGATAAAATTATGTTACATCACATAATCAACAACCAATAAGGATGTAATTTATAATAAACAAGCTTTTAAGAAATATTTTTTCCAGGTGCAATTGTTGTGGTCTAATGATCTAACACATCAACTACAGTGTTGTTGGTTTTTTAAGCTTAGGTTTCTTTCATTTTTTGAACTCAACTAGGAAGTTTTCACAAAAGGTTTAATGTCCACACTGCACATAAACATCTCACATTGTAGACATTTAATGTTAGATACTCAAAACATATAATTTTACTGGATATATGCCACAGTTCCACACTGAACATAAACATCTCACATTGTAGACATTTAATGTTAGATACTCCAAACATATAATTTTACTGGATATATGCCACAGTTCCACACTGCACATAAACATCTCACATTGTAGAAATTTAATGTTAGAAACTCCAAACATATAATTTTACTGGATATATGCCACAGTTCCACACTAAACATAAACATCTCACACTATAGAAATTTAATGTTAGATACTCCAAACATATAATTTTACTGGATATATGCCACAGTTCCACACTGAACATAAACATCTCAGATTGTAGAAATTTAATGTTAGATACTCCAAACATATAACTTTACTGGATATATGTCACAGTCACTCACCTTTATATAGGGATGTCCAAGATCGTTTGTACCAAACTGTCTACAGCATCGCTCCTCTTTTCTATGTTCGTAGAATTCAGGATGCCTCAGAATAGCGTAGCACTTGCCCTTGTATCTCAGAGCAATAGCTGAAGAGTCAATCATACTTTCCTTGTCTTCTGTAGATACAGGCAGCACAATGGGAATCGTCTGGTTTGTCAAACCATCTGTTTTTAAAATATATTCACATGCTCAAGTACAAGAAAACATTATTCACACAAACTACGTACGTGATTATAGACGAAACATCTTTACATAACATGGTTATACATGTAACACACAACCGTATGGTTAACTGACCAAATCCTTTTGGACTGTGATTGAGTTAAGACTTTCGAATGACATAGTTTCAGAGTGATTAGAATGATAATATCATGCCACGTTCGCAGCAAAATGTTTTTAAAATACATTGAATTTTAAGATACTGTCTTTTTTTTTAACAAGATCATTTACAAAGGCTAACTTATTATTCATACAGAGAAAAGTAAGGTCGGACGGTCACCACTGTGTATTATCGGAGTGAATTAAAATAACTACTGTTCATGTGACTCCTTCAATAAACAGACTGGTGGATGAGTGTGAGAGGGAATGACTTCAGTTTATTTCAGACAATGGGGAATTATTGAGAGCCAAATATGCCATTAAAAAACAAGTTCAAGATCACTGAATTTTTCTAACGTGATTGTTTTACTACGAGTGGCTTAGGGTAAGATGCTCCCATCCCTGTAGGGCCATCTAACCCCACACCAATGAATGCAATGTATATCATTTTCCCACGCAAATACCCAGGTTCTTTTGTACCATTGTCCTAAAGAACGCATAACTTGCTCACGGCCTTCCCGATCCCTGCCTCAAAATAACTTAAATAGAACTGCTAAATACAGCATTTATTTTAAATTTTAGTTGTTATGAGTTAGATGAGGGCCATTTTATACCACCTTAAAGGTCAAATGGTCTATTTCCAATCTTTGTTTAACTAGAATTGATAATTATAATAAAACAGGGTTCATGTTAAAACCTTTTGTTTTTTTCTTGACATTCATCTTAATTGGTAAAAACCACATTAAAAGTTAAAGTTGCGATCTTAACCCATCTTCCCCTACTTTAAAAACTCACTTAGGGTCACATGTCAGCAGTTACAAACCCATGTGCAAGGAAATTGGTTTAATTTGGGGCCTAGTCAAGGCTGTTCTTAATAACCCAACAAGCACCTACGTAAACTAGCTTTGAAAGTTATATTTGGTAAGATAGTGATAGGTGTAACTGTATAATTTCTTTATTTCTACTCTTATATCTAACCTTACACAAGTTACATCTACTTTATATCTATAATCAGCTTACTCTAGATTAGAAGTTCTTATTAATACTCTATTATCTACTGCAAATAGTACTTTTTTTAAGTTTAACTGTGTCCTACATATGATTTCCTTATCAATGTGGTATAAGAATGACTGAAACCTTCTATTCTATATGTTTTTGACAAAATATTTAGCTAACCATATGTTTCTTAGTAAATTATGGTTATTTTCTGTTCTTTGTACTGAAAATGTTTTACGTGGTTATATTATATATATAAATATCTACATTCAATGTTTCAGTCTCTGTACTTCGGTCATTCTTAGGCTTAAGAAAACAACTTTGTGTAGTGTATTGGTATAAAGTGTCCAAATTACCAAATATTCAAGAAAAACTGCAAATCGTGACACATTTCATTCGCTTCTCGACATTAACTTTCATTCTTCTGGATGTCACATATAAACTTTTTGAACATGTTCTTGTACAATTCTGTTATTTTTTTCATGATTACAGAGTAGTGTATAGAGGTCATGTATCAAAACAGTCCCTGATTTTTTAAATAAATATAAGATAATCAATAGTCATGTCACTGCAGTCCTCAGAATTTCTAGTAGCTATATCTGCATCATACTGTTACGTCTCTGTTCGTTATTGTTAATTTCATCAACTTTAATAATACTCATTTCAATTTAACACCCTCTGACTGCAGTTCAATTACCCATTACCCTCCGTTGTTCCGTCACGTTGTGAACGTCTTATATATACAAGACTAACATATATCTAGTAAATGCTAGGGCATTCTTGAAGGAACAGGATATTTCTAGAAAGAGGTGGCGTGATACTAGTCACGTGACCTCGCTGATGCAACAATACTAAAGTGGTTCTTTTATGACTTACACATGCTCAGATCCTTAAAACATGAGTTTATGTTCACATAAAAACTACGAGTAGCAAACTTTTCGTATCTGTTTCCGACGTATCTTAATACCCTTCAGTACATATCAAAGTTCAACCACGATATTCCTCAAGAGGTGAGAACGACTAGAAGTAAAACATACTTAGAAGAAAAAATTATAAATGTGTAGCTAGGGGAGAAAACATTCAGAACACTAACTTTGTCAACACTGCATCCATTCCCTGAACCTATGCAGTAACAGGAATACTCGCCCGATTTCCCATTTTGTTCTTGCTATCTTTTGACCCTTTGTGGCTTTTCAACAGTTTTCAAAGGACACTTAATTGGCAACTTTTACTATAACTTCTCAAGCCAGTTATTCTCTAAAATGTACAGACTGTACACTTAATTTTGAAAAAAATGCCCTGATGTTAATTTAAGAAATTCTTGAGTTGAAAAGTCACAATTAATATTTTTTTGGGGAAGACAAATATATTCTTTGTACTAAAAGTTCAACCTATTACACATTCAAGGTCAGTCTTTAATAGTAAACAAAAGTCAAATGTTAGTTTGTTTTAAATGTTTGAAGAGCATTATTCACCTAACATTTTTGTTTGTTATTAAGCGAAAAAATACACAATGGGCTAGCTATTTGTGCCATGCCCACAATGGGTATCAAGCCTGGTTTTTAGTGTTGTAAGCCTTTAGACTTACAACTGAGCCACCAGGAGGCATTTACCTAACTAAGATATGTAAAGAAATATGTACTACATAAATGAAATAGAATAGATGCAAATGTTCACACCCACCATCTAAAAGACAGCCAAAGTGCATGCACTGTAGGTATTCTCTCTCCCTCATAAATCCCTTCAAGGGGGTCGCCCAGCCTTCGGACAAAACTTGAACCCACTGCAAGTCCACATTAGAAATGTTGATAAATGGGAGTGTTTCTGCTTCATCCTTTGCCGAACTTTCTCGATTCTTGGAAACAAACAACTCCTTTACACTATCAACTGCAGACTCTGGAATGATACCCTAAAGTATGATAAAAAAATCTGTTATGAACTCGGATTCTTTCTGGTGGCTTGCATGAATCAAATAAAAACACAAATTACTGAGAACCAATACATTAACTTGTAATTTTACTACAGCATACCAGAAACATGTCCAACAAGTAGACTGTTTATGGAATAGTTAAATATATATA